GATTACAGTTTGCAAAAGAATGCACAAGGAACTATTCGTCCTAAAAGTAACTGTTATTGACATTTTCACAATTCTATCAGATTTTACAATTCTCTAAAGGAAGTTTTTTCGGAGTCTCGAACTTTGGTGAAGGCGGGTAGAGGAATCTAGAGCCAACACATTGAGTGCGCTGCTCGTGGTAAGTAAGGAGTGAGCAACTCTTACTGAGACAAAAAGCTTGGCTATCTTAGCTTCAGTTTGAATCATATTCCACGCATGGTAACTATTCTTTTAAGGAACTAGTGACCGAAAGGAGGTTTCGAGTTTTTACTTTGGAAAATTTGTATTATCTAGCTCTTCCCTCTTCATAATGAGAAATCTTCGGACTCAGTGGAGGAGACATATTCTCCCTCTGTTGTGCAAAATCTTAAACCAATTGACCTTACACCATTAGCCGCTCAAGAGCTTACCGTTAGATCGGCAATACAACTTAAGTTTCAATACACTTGAATATTTCGGGCAATCTGGGTCACTGTGGTCAAAAATAAAGATAAAGAAGAGGGTCTGAATGGGATTTAGTGTTTAGTGTTATTTGCCCATATTTTTTAGTGTTTACTGTTAAATTGACTATTTTTTTATGTTTACTGTTCTTGAAAAAATACTGTTTAGTGTTTGAAAGAAGACCCCAAAGTTTTTTTTAAGCATTTTCATATTTTATCTGCTCTTTTAAATTCTGCAAGAAAATCAAGAAAATCACTCGCGAACAGTGAGCCAAAGCTGAAATGCTCTTGTCCTTAGAACTGATAATGCGCCTGACTAGACCCTCAGTACTAGATGTACTTAAGGGGATACGTTTGATAATCCACACAATAGTTCCTGAAGAGTGTCGCTTCTGGAAGTCCAACCAAATTAGTGTTTGCAAAAGACCAATTGTACCTGAAATTGGGCCCCAAGGCAAAGTACTGGCGTTAGACTACGATTTCGACTCTTGATAGTCTCGTAGAACTGCGTTTACACCGACCAGTCGATGTAAATATTCGGAGGGAAGTACTCAGGGATGCGCAGGACCTATGCTTTACCAATGGCGTAGTCTTCGTTGCAGAGAGAGGCTCATCAGCAATCCGTTTCATTGAATTGAAAGGCGAAGTACTTTTCAAACCCGGACGCCTAAAATCGCGAGCTGATTTGCTTTCGCAACTTAGTCGTTTCAGATTGTCACTTGAGGGTACAGGTCCAGTTCTACAGAAGCGGTTGACGACACATCTGAGATCTTTAGCTGCACAAGTCGAGAATAAACAAATTGTCCAGATTAACCCACCTTTAAGTAAATCAACTTCCATCTGTGCGGCAAGTAAGGATATCTTCTTGTTTGCAGATGATGAGCAGAGAAGCATAATGCAGCTGGAGTTAGAGTACAATGGAGTGCCTATCATCGGTAGTAGGCTGAGACAGATAAACTATTCCAATGACGTGACAAGTGTTGAATCTCTTTATGTTCTGCAGCAATCAGCATACTTGGCAGCAAATGGCGCAGCTGGAGGGTTATATGGTTGTCACCTCGATTCTGTCAATGTTGAGCGACTCTTGCGGAATTCTTCAGATTCTTGTTAGGAAATCAAGAGGCTGTATAGTTATGAGGGCAACATTGTTTTCACCGACAACAAAGATCAAAAGGTTACGACCTTTAATCCCTTAAGTGCAACAGTAGAGACCTTTTCGGGTACTGGCAATGAAGGAACCGTCGATGGAACTGAAGAAAGCTGCTCATTTACACAAGTGCATGCAATCTTTTCCTTATAGAAAATTTTTTTTGTTTCTGATCTAGCTGCTGAAACAATCAAACTAGCTTTGGGGTTTACTGGAAAAGTGTCCTTTCTTCGCAACCTCGAATGTCTCTATGATAGTTTTGGAATTGGTGCACATACGATCGACGCGGTCCAATTATCTTTTCAAGATGCTGTGTGCAATGTTTCATCTGTAAATGCTTATATTAAAAAACACAGTCGCTGAAGTAAGGCAGCACTATAAAATGAAAGAAACGGCAACAATAAGTCGCCCTGAAGGAACTGTTTCCAGCAAAACACAGGAGTCATTGGTGCTTCTCGAAAGAGGTATGGAACAGCTACGAGATAACGTTAAGAATGTAAACCAGGACTATCTTGGTGACATTGACCTGCGTACGCTGTTAACAACTTAGGTGGAGAACCTTCATGCAGTCTCCCACTTCAAAAACGAGACTTTCACCTCTCTTCAGTATGCTCAAGACTTTGGAACAATTTCAAAGGAATCTTTAGAGAGAACAACGAAGTGGGGTGCGAAGTACTTCACACTTGAGAAGTCTTATTATCCAGTGCCTAAATCCAGTGTGGAGTTACAGGACGTAGATTTCATGAAACCTCCTCCAGCTGATAACGTTGACCCCAACATTGAGGCAGCCATGAAGAAATTGGTT